GGACCAATCTGGTCCTCGATGCTTTCCTTTGTCACACCAGCTTTGAGGGAAGTTTCGATCCGCTCATGGTGTTCTTTTACAGAGTCCATGGCGGTCGCCATCTCACCCGACTTATCCTTCATTGTGGACACGTCATCTGTGTTGTGTTGGACCGAGGCAAACAAATCTTTCAAGCTTTGGTTGACGTTCTCTTCTCGGTCCGAAGCACGAGCAGAGATGACATCCTCAAAGCCTTGAAGCTTTTCTCCCACGGTCTTCTTGCAATTGTTCACACTTCCCGACACTTCGCTAATACGTTCGGTCAGGTCATGGAACTTTTCACCAAGGCTTTGAGCAAGGCTCTCGAGATTGGCTTGCTCAGTCTTGAGCTTCGCAATCTCCAAGTTCTTCTGCTCTTGGAAGGCTTCCCGCTCAGTCTCAAACTCCTTAAGCTTGGCTTCAAGAAGATTCGACTGGCTCTGGGTACTTCGATGGAGTGCTTCGGCCTCATCTTGCTTTTCCTTCACTATACGACAGGCAGACACAAATTGATCACGAAGGACCTTTGCGCCCGCTGGGTCAGAGAGGAAAGAGAGGATGAGGTCGAGTTGTTCAAAGTTGAGTATATCATTAAGCTCTTGTTGCGCTTCCATTTTTCTGGTTTGCTTTGAGAGTTTGCTTTGAGAGGGTGTTGTTGGAGGGAAAATGAACTTGATGCCATGTTCAGGTCGAAGGGAAGGTGCACCCACCTGGGACGGGGTACGTACGCAACACTCACGTGCCAATTTGACCATGACCCAATACGCAAGTTGTTGAATTAATTGAAAAAAATATTATTATCTGTGCTACTGATATCGGAAAGATTTTGTATCATATTTGGGTTGTTTTGTCTTGAGCTAAAAGTCTCATTCCGACTTACAAGACGATGCAGCGAGCCAGGGCATCCGTGATCCAATTGACGCGCCAGCTGTACAAGTTCTGGCCCAAGCGACTGGGTGGTAAATATGTTATTAGATAGTCACCGGTGATCCATCCTTCACTCTCATCTTCAAATGGAAGTCCTTGTAGCATTTGCCGAGTCGGACGAGGATACCCAATGCCATTGCCCGTGAGCTGATGTACCTGCTCTAACTGAACTTACTGTACCGTGTGCGACTTCCATGTCTGAAGATCAAGTCCTCCTTCCGCAAGCGCCCCTGGACTGCTGTTGTAGACGCCCCTTCCTTGTCGAGATGGTGAGGAGGTCAAGTACTGTCATCTCATCCCCGCCCACATTCCCAAGACTTCATTCTTCCGCGCTTCCATCAAAATGGCTTCAAGCTCGAGGAATTCTGGCGCTGCACGCCTACCACTTGCTGGTAATCACAATTTCCCCCCTCAGCAGCTTTCGCAAGTTGACCAGATTGATAATGAACTCAAGAAGGTCATGGGTGGGATAGCTGCTCTGAGGGACGGTGCACCTCCTGGAAAGGATGTAGCTACCGTGGCTGGTTACGATGCACAAAACGTGCACAAAACCGCAGCTATTCTCAAGGAGATCAGTGTCGCTGAAGATGAGCTCAATGCCATCGAAGGTGACATTGGTCTCACTAAGAAGGTAATCATTGCTGGCCAGAGTACAACTCTGACTGGCGTCGATTTGCAAGATAAAGAAGCTCGCAAAAGAGCATCTTCTAGAGTGGTGGACTTCGTCGCAGGGTCAGCTGAAAACACCCGTAGGTTCTATAGAGGATTGAACATTTCGGTGACTCCTGAGACGAATGCAGCTGCACGAACGGCCCTCAGGGAACTGGCGGTTTCCAACACGAATCCGTCAAGACGAGGGCCCGATCCAGCCAAAGACCTTGCTTCCCTTCAAAAGGCATTGAAGACCAATCACACACTCAGTAGTAGATACAAGAAAGAGCGTGATGAATTCAAAGATGCCTGGGAGAGGAGCCAAAAGGAGAACAAGAAGTTGACCCAGACGTCTGAGCAACAATCCCGGGATCTCTACCAGGCCAATAAAGACCTTGAAAAGGCCAGAAGAGAATTTCCGCAGTTGGAGCGAGACAAGGCCAACCGAAACGAGTCCTACCTCAAAACTCAAGCCATCAAGGCCAAGCTACAGGCTGACGATGCGGAGAAGCGAGCCCAGACGACCCAGGAGAAGAATCTTGACGTAGAGAAGAGGCTCTATGAAGTCAATGACAGCCTCAAGAAACTCCGCGGTTCACATACCAGGCAGGCTGACCAGATTGCCCTCCTGAAAAAACAATCTGAAGGTCTGAAGGAGGACCTGAAAGATTATAAAGAGAGTACTAAGGCTGCCCAAGATGAAGTTGTCCGGCTACAGTTAGACTCGAAATCCAGTCGCATATACCATGTCGATCAAATGAGACGTCTTCAGACTGCCAAGGATGGAGCTGATAAGAGGGTCCAAGAAGTCTCTGACGAGCTTCGTCAAACCCAGATCGATCGCTCAGCTGACTCTGCAAGCCTCAACTCTGCAAATGAAGAGCTTAGCAAAGTCAGAGGGGAGCTTGAAGCTCTTCAACTCACTGTTGAGGGACACGTACGTGACCTTGAAAGGAAGAATCAGAGAATCTCAGAGCTTGAGAAGGCTTCTGACGAAAAAGATGCTTCCATCAAAGTGCGTGACGAAACCATCGATGCACAGATCCAGGGCGCATCGACGTTCCTGCGACATCTTTCGTTGGATGTCGAGTCCGATGCCTGGAAGTGTATTGCCGAGAGAGTACTAGTTGACTCGACAAGTACTTCCCTTACTTCGGCGGAGTGGGTACCATGGGCTATCTTTCCATCCTGGTCTGAGGATGCGTCTCTCGCGACCTGGGAAGATACCCGCGGTCCTGAAGTTGTTGCTCTCAACCTGCTCGCAATCTTGAGGGACAGGTCTGCAGATGCAAAACTCGTGTTGGCTTTACTTCATCACCTGCAGAAGGCGATCAAGGAAGTCAAGTCGATGGTATCTGGCATCGTCCAGCTACTCATTGAAGCCTTTGACAGGGCGGTTGGTGACCCTAGATTGCATCTGATGCACCGTTTTTCCATGTGTCAGATAGCAACTCTGTTGGGGTCAACCGGTGAAGTCGAACGGTTTATGCAGGCAATGGATGCTGCTGATCCCAGAATCCGGCGTCTTGTGAATGCCCTGGGGGCATATCGTCTCGAGAACTCTGTCTTCCCGATGGAGGAGGCGATAAGCTACCCTGGCGTAGCACTTGTCGGTTTCAACAGAGACCCTCAAGGAGTCATTGCTGTCAGCCTATCTGACAACGGGATTTGCTGGGTTGATATCACCAATATCAGAACCGAATTCACTCTTTTGAGCTTGGTTTCTGGGAAGGGTGATTCTTTTAAATTCCCTCTCGACACAGCCGAGAGGGTTGAATGGGCAATGACCCATGCGTGATGCACCAGATGGATAGCCTTGGGAGTATATACACGTATACAACCAAGCGTCCTTGGTACACACGGTACACGTTATCGTCTTCAGTGCTTTGTTGTGTGTTGGTTGGTTTCTGTTTGGGTCAATTCTTGGGAGGTTTTGGGGTTTAGAACGCTGCTGTGGAAGCTTGGGGGCAGAGGAGGCTTCGGGAACACTATTCTGTCAGCTGAGGAATTCACAATCGAAAGGGGGTGTGACATGGAGCTCTGACCGGTTTCCCCTACTACCAATGCCAATGTGAAATGTGCCGCAATCCATCGGTGAATGTACCGAAGAGTGAACCATTGCAAGTCGTGACCAGTAGAATTCCCTTTTTAATGTCTTAAGGGTTAATGCGACTTTTACGGGCCTTCCCCAGCGACCAACGTGGGAGATGTAGCGATATCGATGGGGTGGCTGTGGTGATATGGACTCTTTGGTGTGTGATCTTGGACCGCGAGAGGATCTTAAACGTGGATAACTTCGGCGCTTCCGATTCTTTGGGAGTTTGCCTCGACTAAACGGAGCATGAACCCGACAACGGTCAGCATATCTTAAAACTCCACGCCACCCTACCACGTCTGCACTGACTGTGATGCAGTTACGTTGCCTTGGCCACGTCTGCCGCTGTCTTTCGTCGGCTTCCGTATCCCTTTCGTATGTCCAAGTCCCTTAGCTTCTCGTACAACTATGTGGCCATTATCTGGACTCTCATTGAGCTCCGGGAGGGAAGGGTGGCTCTACTCGTCGATCGATAATCTCCAAAGTACCGTCTGTGACAGAAGTGGTGTGCTTAATTGGCCCTTGATAGTCTTTCCCGCCTCTTCGTGCTTACTGGGTTATCGTCGGATCGTGAATTTCACTCTGGGGAGTGGGCATACGCCTTGCTGTGCCGCAACAATCTGACTGTCCCATACTGGAGCGGTGTGTGTGTGTCTGCGGAGTCAGGATACGCTTCACGGTCATGCATCGTCGCTGAATTGGTCGTTGCTTTCCATGTCGGTGATGGGTGTAGGAGTCTCCAGATGACACACACCTAGTGTATATCCGTCTCACTACCACTACCGTGAGTATTGATCATCCAACGAGTGATTGTCCCCAAGCCCGAGGCTTCATACGTTCAATTTGTGAAGAAATGTGACCTCCGATTCTACTCGAGTAGAACCCTCAAATACAAGAGCTATAGGAGCATACACTATACCTCAAACTCAGGCGGGGACCTCAGGCCTAACCTCGCTCCTCCTCTGGTCTCTGACCCTTTAATGAGCCGGTACTTTGTTCGGAGAAGAATGTCGTCGGTGATCAAGGATGTGGTCCGCAACGGGAACTCGACCTTTATGTTTCAGTTGGTTATACATTCGATGTGTGAGGAGTCTTACAAGAGCCGAATAGTCTTTTCATCTGCCCTCCTTTCTCCCGATGTAGACATGTTTATTGGGGGTTGGAAGCACCGGGATAACTTTTGTGGCATTGATAGCTGGAGTGGAAGATGTCGAATATCTGGCCTTGGTTAGCTTCATCGCAGTACTACAATCGGTGAGACGTGTGATGTTTTTACATACATATAATTTTATAATCGCATGTCTCCAGCGAGTTGACGTTCGTAAGCCCACGGGGGCTCAGTACAAGGGGTCTCTTCGCGTTTTTCATCTGCCAAAGATATATATCGGCTCTCTCCTGAGGTGATGCGCCCGTGTACGTTTGGTATTTTGTTGACTTTTGAGGATTCTTTGTCCGCGAAGCGTTTGCGTGCCAGAGAATGTGGCCGCGCGAACGTCATCTATATATGACAGACAACGTTAGAAGAAACGCACGAGGTGAATAGTAGCGCGATACCCTTGAGAAACTTTAGGTGAAGTCTTGTTTAGTCCGTGGTTGGTCAATAGCCGGGTGGAAGGTCGTTGCGCCAGTAGTATTGGAATGGCATCGCCAATAGCACGGATCGATGCTCACGCGACATGAGGAGACATTGAGAGCTCAGCCTTCCATCGGCGGGGATATGATTCGTAGCCGGCTTCTCCAAGGCTCTCACTTATGAAGGGGGTGGACGATCGATGCGAATAAGGGGCGGGGATGAGAAGGGGCCGATCCTGGCCCTCGCGTGAAGATGGCATAATCGACAGGAGTCGGTAGTTCGTGTCGACAAAAGGTGCATTACCGGGTGAAGTCTTCGTAACCACTGTGGACATTGCCGCCGGTGGACAGGCAGATTACCAGATTATGTTACTGTCTGGGCAGCGGCAGAAATGCAATCAACAGGCACCCCTCTCGGAATGAGCTGGAACCGATTGTCTTTGACCAATCCATTGTCCACGATGCCCAATGTTGTAGCCGAAGCGACAATGTTCTTCACCTGCTTCCTCGCAATGGGCGACGACGTTTTGGTATCAAAAGCGGAACAACGAGCCCGCTCCTTCAGTCCAGCATGAATGCTAAGCAGCCAGAGATTCCTGGTCGGATAATAGACACAGGGACCAGATGTCGCTATTTGATCCGGAATTATATTCATGGTGTTCAGCCGATATGTCTCATGTGTGCATGCCTCATTAGCCGCCGCTCGGTAATGGCCACCCGGGTCTGTGAGCGGCTAGAAGAAGTCTTCGCGTCCAGGGGCGGCGGAGGTTCGATGGAGGTGAGAGTGTCTATTGACAGGAGATATCTTGATGAAACCCCGAGTATCGCCAGAAGCTCCGAAATTGCGATCCGCGCGGCAAGGAGAGGTGAAACGATGTGCTGTGGCAGACGGACGGGTAACAAAGCAATATGTCTTGCGGGGCCAAGGAGGGATATTCTGTGACCTGNNGATGATGGAGGGTCCAGGTCACTGTGAGGGGCAGAGATTTCCAGCGCGCTGGACTTGGCCTGCCTGGGTGGGTCAGGCTCCCGTTGCCGCAAGACAAAGGTGAGTACTGGGGATACGAAAGCCAAGTTAGGGATCATGTGAACAAGATATCACTGGAAGCCATGATGATAGAGTGTCTGATGGAGTGAACCGGAAATAGAGAATCTCACCCACGAAGGACTATCCTTGATATTGACCTCTCATTCCCGAGGCTGGGTGTTTGGATGGCTAAGTGACCAACTGTGATTTCATCTCATGCTTATGCGCGGCTAAACCAAGCGGCAGCTGGCCTCTTCCGGTTTGTTCATCGAGTAAACATCAGAAATTCCACAGAGCCAGGCAATAGGTCTTAGTGTAAATTCACCGTAAAATGTACCAGAAGTTGTCAACTGGAAGTATTCGTCCGATTGCGGTTCCGAATCATGACACGCTACCGTGACGAGAATGGGAGGTTGAGTCAAGATACCTCATAGCATTGCGCGAAGGAAAATAAAGGCAAATTCTTCCGCGGTGAAATGAGTCTGGGAACAAGGAAGCGATAAATCATCGATGGTACGCAGGAACGTCGAAAAAAAAAAAAGTGTTTGTTTGTTCGGATTCTATCACAAACTTCGAACACACAGTAACACAAGCACTGGAAGCACACATAAAGGCATTCACAATTTGAAATGCATCTGTTCAATCTCTCAGACGAATGTGTATTATCCCAGGTACTTTGTTCTCCGCCCCTGTCCTTTGTCCCGTACAACCCGAGCAATACCACATCGACCCTTTGTATGAATCCTCCCCCATTGCCATACCCCTTGTTCCCATGTCCTCGCGGTGTACTGTTGGTAGGCGAATCGACCGGAAGATTGCTGCTTCATGAAGTTATTAGTCTTGGTGAATCGTCTTTGTATAGTGACAAGGCCTTACCATACTTCTCGACCCCCATCGACCGTCGGCTCAACGACGTACCCCTGATCACTCAAAGACTGAACAGGTCTAAGCCCATGAGAAGGGCTCTTCCTCTTTCGATTCTGGCATTGTGCTTGGACTTGGCCACTCACCGATGGCCACGTTCAACACACGTCAGCCAGCAATAGAAGTGATCTTTCAGCATTCCCGCTGATCCTAGGCCGCATCGCGGCGAGCATCACGCGAGGCTTCAGATCTATCTGGCTTGTCCTTTCGTAGAGGCGGGGCCTTGGGTGAGCCAGGTGGCTGATCACCAGCCGGTCCTTGATCACTTTGACCTTTGCGCCTTCTCTTACCACGTTTCCGGCTCTTGCGGACTTCACCTTCGGCTGATTCTGCCGGTCTTTTACGGGGACTGCCCGGACCAATTGGAGCGGCGTCCTCCAACTGGCTCTCAGGCCCTGGCACAGTCTCATCCGCATCGGCGTCATCCTGCGAAGGCTCAGCCCGCTGTACCTGAGTAGCTGACGATGCTGGTGGCGTCGGCTGGGCTTCCTGCTCCTGTGTTGACTTCCACAAGTCCTTCAGCCGACGATCAATTCTCAAGATCCTGCCGGCGTCGTGGTCAGTCAAGACTGGGGGGGCAACCTCTGGGTGACGGCTGTGGTCTCCCGCGTTCTTCATGGTCTGAAATCCATAGAACAGCATATACTTTCCATGTTTATCCTTGACAGACCAGTCATGGCTGACGATAGAAGGTGGCTGACGCTCACCGACGATGTTAGAACCGTGTATCCCATAGGTACGGACGTACTCCCCAGGACACTTGTCATCCCTCAGGCGAACAACTGCCAGAAGAAAGTATTCGTTCTTCCCCACGCTTACACAAGCGAAGTCAGGATCTTGCTCGTCCTGTTCCCATATGGGTAGGTGGAGAGTTCGAAGTTTGTTCAGGTCGAAGCGGTTTGAATCATTCGAGTCGGGCGTGTACACAACACGTACGACCCAAGGATCATTCGGCCTTGACAGGATCTGCTTCTCATTTCGGTTGATCAAACCAAAGGAATTATCAACAACCTCTTGCAAGGTTCTACCGGGGTTCTCAACGTGGTTGAGCTCCAGTAGACCGGTGAGGGCAATCTCATCTGGAGATCCATCAACGATTGCGCCCGTGTCAATGCAGTAGAGGATGTCTGTGAGGCGGAACTCGTCTTGCGACCAGAAGGTCTTGTTCATGAGCGACGAGCTACAGAGCTCCTCAAAGGAAGACTTATGAGAGANNCAAGCCAGGCGCAAGATCGGGTTTGCTTTCTCTGAAGCCTGCATCCACGCGGGGAGCGGGTCGAGATCGAGCATCATATGACTGTAGATGCGTCGAAGAACAACGATCAAACAGTCAAACCCAGGTTGGGCATCTTTGGGCTCGAACTGGGGAGGGCGACCCTCGAGAATGGCGACAACAACGTCCATGTTGGGGCCATGGAGCTGATGGTGGTTTCGGATATCGTGATTCATCTTTCTGATCATAGTCAGGTTAGCAGATTCATTGTGGAGGTTTCCATTCTTACAGTTGATCGAGATCCGAATGTTGTGTTGAAGTTGAGTTGTGCGGCGGTGAAATGCGGTAGCCGTAGCTGTTTGTTGTTGGCACTGGCCGAGTCGGTGCTTGTGCTGAGTCAGCCCTTTCACTTCACTGCACGTCCCAGCTTTGGTCTAGCATGACATGTATAACCTTGAATTCACTTGATGCCTCGTTGTGTATCGCGGCGACAGCATGACAGATTACAGCTTTTACATATCTCACGTTCATAAAGTCGCTCAAACCCAGCCATTTTGTAGCACCCCAAATCAAACTTGTATTCACACACCTCGTCCCTGCCGGAACCCTTGACTCAATATCTGTGCAAAAAAAAAAAAAAAAAAAAAAAAAAAAAAAAAGAGAAAGAAAACCGAATTCCCACCCCTTATCCATCATCTCCTCCTACCAAAATACTCGTCTCAATTATCTGGGTATAACCGCTCTTAGAAAGCTTAGTTCGACAACATCGCTTTGTTTCAAGAGGTTGATACCAAACACCGGTTTTCGAATCTCCCGACATGTAATTGCAGCGACACTACCGTGTGTGTCTACTGATTCTGATACTGCCATCCCCTGTCAAGAATCCCATGCGGGTTCCTGTCTAGTTGGTGAGGCTGTAAATTTCATCCTCGACCTTGCGGGCCCAGTCATAAGCTTGGATTGGCTGATACAAAGCCCAAGCATACTCGATGGCTCGCAGACGTCGCAGGAACTTGGTACCATCCCGGAATACCCAGACCCTAGCAATCTTGGTAGCGTATTCATACTCCTGCGATAGGATGGCATGAATCTGAGGAATCCACAAGTCCAACTGTTCCCTGTTGAACTTGGCTTCGCCGGCGGTCCCCTCCTCATCAAACAAGATCTTGTTCCACAACCTCACGAGAAGTGGGACAACTTGATCAAGTGGCATGAAGGAGACTCCCATCATCTCCTGCTGTTGGCGGTAACGCAAGAAGTCGGCTAGCCGATGGGTGTGCCCCTCGTAGACACCCGCAACCCACTCGGCCACCTTCATCCAGGTGTTTAGCACACGCAGCCATTGATTCTTGTCCTTGCTGTCGAATGCCTTCGTCAGCTTCGGACCGACGACCAGACTGGCAGGGCCATGATCGCCCATCGACCAACTGATCACGATGTCTGTGTCAATGAGGCCTTCGCCTTCGATCATGTCGAAGACAGACCCATCGTTGCCAAGAACAAGGTCGTGGAAGTCCATCCACTTTGGCAGGGCAATCTCGAAAGGATCAATGATTGGCCCGCCCTCATACTTTCTGAGGTGGAGGTCATCCCAGATATCTTCCAGGTACTCTTGGCTGGGTCGCATAGGGCCCGCCCAGGTGACGGCGTTGACGCCAAAGTCATGCCGGATTGGAATAGACGAATCCATAGTGATGATGGCCTCACTGTCATCATACACCATGAATTCCTCCCAGTCATCTTCCGGGCAACCATTAGCCTTGGCCTCAGCTCTGGCTGCTGCGATCCTCTGGCTCTGGATATCGAGCCTCTGTTTGGCGATATCGGCCAATTCATCATTAAAGATGTCGTTGGCCTCCTGCTCCTTCTGATGTAGGCGCGCGGCCTTCAAATCTACAGCCTTAGCGTCAGCTTCGGCCTTTTCCTTCTCCTTCTCCTT